CACGGTTTCCGTGTGTGTTGTGTGTTTTGGGCTTAACTCTGAGACCCATCATGACACTTATAGAGCCAGACCGGATGAGAAGGACCCCTGCTGTGAGTCCGAGAGCAAGAGAGCCTGTCTTGCTGTTAGCCTGACTGCTAAGCTGCTGCTGGATGAAACCCAAGCCTTTCAAAAAGACATGTACAAAAAAGGTTTGCAGGTCTGGCACACTTCGGGACAGGACAAACAATATGTCTTTTGATGATGTTGATCATTTCATGTCTTTACTGATGAGTAAAGACAAAGCTAACAGAAAGGACTGCATGCTGCGCTTACACTAATATGTTTTGAGCTGTTGTTGAAGCTGGAACAAGCTTTATTTCACTAAGGGCTTAAACACTGATATAACATTAGTGTTCATATGTTCCTCTGAAAACATTCTGTTGGGATTTGGAGGTCTGTCCACCTTTCTCCAGCAGAGGGCAACCTAGGTCTCCTGGAGCTGGGCTGACGACCACACCTGCGGCTCATCAGTCATCAGGAGACCAGCATATAAGCAGCGGCAGGACTACACTCCAGCGCCAGAGTGTTAAGCCAGTTATGGTTAGCAAAGCCTGAGCCAACCAGCCTGTCTGATTCTCTGACTCCCCTGAAACCAGAACCTGAACCTAATCAGTTTTTGTATTCTCTGCTTTTTAGGAAGAAACTTTACTGAACCCTGGAGCTCTGGAAGAGTTTCCCAGCTGAAACCTGCCTGCCTGCTCTCAGAAGCACATCTGAAGAATCAAACTTCTGAACCTGCCAGCCCGCTCTCAAAGAAGAGAACTGGAAGAAACCCTGGACCTGAACACTGACAAGTCTGAAGTCTAGCTCTGTCGTTGCTTAGCCCTCTGCCAACCACCTGCCTCTGGACCCTCCTGGTTCCCTCCCTCTGCTGCTCAGCCTGAACCACGTCACAGGTACAGACCTGCACAATTCCTCTGACAAGATCAACTGCATCCTGGCTAACCAAACTGTCCCTCTCTCCAAAGAACCCTGTGTGACCAGTCCCAGATCTGTTTCCCAGCATCAGTGCTTAACTTTGTGTTTTTCTTAATAAACCGTCAAACTTTTCATCAGTCTCCGTTAGGGGTGTAAATCACATCCATCATGGCGATTCGATTCAGTATCGATTTCCTGACCCAA